CCTGATACAACGAAACCAGGAATTCCCATGATCACTGGGCGGCCTCTCGAATAACCTGGGAATAACCTGTACCATGACGTCCCTGTGCTCGAAATCAAATTGTATTTCTTTGGGATGCCCGACTTCAGGTTTATATGAAAGTCAGTACGTTTCAAGAATATTCAAGCATTCCACAATTACACCAACAAGGCCAATTTTAGTTTCGACCACAATATAAGCTGCTTCTTGTACCCTCTGCGAAAAGTTAATTAAAAAACGGAACGGCCACAGCGTCAGCCGTTTGTGAAATGGTTTATATAACTTAGCCGTTTACTATATGCACAATAGTAGGGCAGGTTCCTCTAATAGATAGTTACGATGAAAGAAGCTGTAATAAAAGAATCTGACTTTACCGTTTGCGTCAGTCTTGAAAAAATAAATGATGTTGACTTTGGCGATGTAGGCCTTCAGTTGAAAGGGGCTTCATATAACCCGCATAAAAATAAGCTCAGGAGAAATTTCTTATTTTAACTATTTTAATCTCCACGAAATGCCCGACTTATAATTTGGGACAGAAGATTGGGAATAGGTAAAAGTGCAACTATTTTTTTGAGGATTCTGAAAAGCTCAGCGGAGTCAAACGCCATCCGAACGAAAATATTAATTTTATAAAAGAAAAAATTTGCTCATACAACGAAATCGGCCATTATTATATCGGTGAGGGGTCTCTTAAGTCCTGATCTAGAAATAACATGTATTTCTATGGCGTCCCTGTGCGCGAACATAAGCAAAAAAGTTCGCTCTAATCAACCACTTCGTACAAAATGCAAGAACAAAAAGTTCACCAGATTATCTTGACGCTGTTGATAAATGTAATAATGCACTATATGTACAGATGTATACCGCAAACAAAAACTTATTTGTAGAGCTATGTAAAAGCTGAACTTTCAAATCCGGTACGTCAACCAGAAAACAAACAGAGAAAGCTGGTGGACCCAATGAGACGGATCAGTACGGACCTATTTACCACTTTATAATCCCGATTAATAAACCAGCAAGACAGCGAGCCGGCGGCGCAGTGGTTAGAGCATTGGACTTTTTACTAATAAGGTCGCGGTTTCAAAGGTCGGGTGGGCACCCAGTCCTGGGGCAACACTTGAGTTGGGTATGACTAGTTTACGACAGCCAATAAGCCAGAAACGGCCATCCTCGTCTCCCCTGTCTTTGTCGGTAATGTCCTACCGCCTATATTACTAGCCGCCTTGCTGCATAGGCTCAAGTGTGAGCTCCAAAGGCCCCATAACCGGAAGATTGCGTCCTCTAAGTGATCAGTATACGCCTATCGGTCACTATAAACAAAATATATGTTGCTTTTAGCATCCCCGGAAGAGGAAGCAGAAGAAGATGGGGCAATTAACTAAGAAATGGAAAACACAGATCCAGTAGGCTTCTCGAAGTGAACTAATTTCGTGTTGGTGACTAGGTGTCTCCAACAGGACGATGCTAGCCAAGTCGTAATAACAGAGACCGATGACAACGTTTTGGGGGTAACTTAATACAAAATTGTTTCGGGCTTACTTGCCTTCATTCCGCCAAGCATAACCCTGACCGCCTGCAGGGCCTTGAATAAATTGGGCTTATATAAATTATAAGACAGGGCAGGCCGAACCGAAATCCGACGACCAGTCTATCAAGCATATGATGGGCACTTCCTTAATGTAACCGCATTTCTCAAGCCCATCTACCTTCTATTAAAATGGCTAGAGAAGGGGATCGCCCAATTGTTGGAATCAACGAAAAGAAAAGTGATATTGATACCCAAGGCACCTCTGCCACGAGGTGGAACAATATTCTGTCATCTACCGGGTTCAATGCGTTTTTCGCACAGTTAAATCTATGGGTCAAACCGGGAAACGATTGCCAACGCGGGGAATATCTGAGAACGGTTAAAATGATGGACCTACTACATTTATTGGCGGAACCCTGCGAAGACTTCGGATACACCTTCATCTTCCAGAATGCCAAAATTCTGGGTCAAGGAGATGATCGCGTACTCAAGGAATTAATCGAAGGCTTGGTGCACAAGGACAAACTACATTAACCATTCTACGGCATTTCGCATGTTTAACCAAGCCCTTCGAACGCGGCTCAATCAACAAAATAGTAATGCGAATTTAGGCCAAACGTGAATCCGAACCCGTGAGAGTCCATGGCAAACAGTTAGGTAGCTGCAATACAACGCGGACCTGACGAAAGAGCAGTCAACACCTCATTGTCAGGTCATCCACTTATCCGACTGCGTTTAATGCACTACTGTAATTTATTTGACAGAAATAGCTGAACCCTTTTTTATTATTTCCGATTTTCCTAAATAAATCTTCATTGCTTACCAAGTTGATGTTGCCCTCAATACTTCTCTGACGTTAACATCTAATATAAGGTGGCTTCGTATGCACTTATTTTCTTAAAAGGCCGCACCTGAATACATTTGTCTGTTAAACATGAAAAAACGCTTCAGCATTCAACACTAAAAACAGGTGAGATTCTAATGCAGCAGATGACCACGAAAAAAAATATCCACTACCAGCCTAACTTAAAAGTGTTAAATTCTGGAAAAGAGTAACGCCGAGATCCCAGCAAAGTGTGTCTCCAAAATAGTATTACTGACGTTAGGGTACCCTACCCACCCCATTAATAAATAATAAAAAAAACGTTTCAAAGTGGAGTGCCGTACCTCAAGGACTGGGAGACCCAAGGACATATTCCTGTTAGTCTCTGAAATATTGACCGCCATGGGGTACATATCATAGCGTTGACGCCGACTGCTGTCTTCCAGCTGATACCACTGATTCAACTCTGAGCCGGTAACTTTGACATCGGGATTCTGCGCTCTGAGCATTCTAAGCCGTTCCGTCAGTTTATTTCGGTGGTAGGTGCTAGCATTGTCCAACTGGTCTACGCACAGAGATATGTCGTAGGTACCGTCTCGTGAGCAGAATAAATCCTGCACATCCAAGGGTGGCCAAAACCTAGTCCGATTTCTACGGTGAACAGCCTGGCAACGGCAACTGGAGGCGGTACCGTCAAAGTCCGCTGGTGTCTCCACTTGCTCGCCAACTTTCTCGACGAGTGACCGGTCAAAGTCGTCATAATCGGCTTTGTAAATGCAGCGGTAGGTAATATATATGCACGCCACCACGGTAAGCGCGGATATAAGTGTCACCTTGCGTAACCGTAGATTCAAGGCCATTGTGATCACAGCGGAAGGCGACCGCATGCCTGCTAGTCGTCAGCCGAACTGGCCGTGCTTAAACACCCGCCACCTAGCCGTGCTGGGCACCTAATTGGTTGACGCGGAGGAGAGCCAACCAGAGCTGTGACTGACTCTGATTGGCTGGGAGAAGTCTCACGATTACAGACGCGGCAGCTCCTCTATCAGATTGCGCGCATGCGTTTACGCACATGTTTGCATCCTTGTGTACAAAGGATGGCGTAACCTCAAAAAGAGGAAAAAAACTTCGTAATTACTCTTAAGCTGCAATCTGTCTATGCGTGTTACGTCGTTAAATTGCAATCACTTCAGAAGAACGGCTAAAATCCAAGGTCGGATTGCAGAGTTTAACACGACAGTTCGACTGTCGAGAAGGTCTTACGTGTGTTCCACAACAGAATACTACAGCGACGGGGACATCCAGCATCTACATCACCCTCGCCCTACTCCCCTTCCTTGGGCCAGTATCACGAGAACGTCAACAGGACCAGAGGTAGGGGAAGGCATGGGTGGCTGGTGTGGCAAAGGTGATTC